TGAAATTATTGCGTTCCCAATAGATAGATCTATCCACCTCTTTTGCCTGGATTAACTTCACTACAACAAGGAAGTCCATCTGAATCATAATTGGAAGAGATAACGACAAACCCTCCATACACGCACATAGTTCAGCTTCGAGGGTAGCCAACAACATAACATAAATATATAACACGTTGTGCATAAAATAGTTCACGGTACAACCAACGACATAACGTAAAAATATATAAAAAGCCCTAACGGGCAAGACAAGCTTCACTAGACCGGCTGAGCCATCACCACCATCTTCACTGCGCCTCTCTTCAATGCTCCTCCTCCATGCCGTCCTCGCCGAGGTAGTAGGGGAGGTTGTGCATACCGTTACAGGTGGGGAAGATGCTATCGAAGTCCGTGAAGATGTTGTAGATGGTGAATGCGATGAACTCGCACCCACACCAAAACACCTGCCGAGGAGGTAGTACGCATCGAACTTGTTCATGAAGTTGGCAACGGGCCCTATCGCTGGAGTGGTGGAGTTTGGACGCACTTCCTCCAGTCGGAACATCACCGGCGAGCCCGCCGGGTGGTGGGCGAAGCCCGCACCGAGGAACCACTGGGCAAACTCCTTTCTACCCCTCTAGCGTGAGAACCACACGTGGAGCGTCGTCTCCACAACGACACCGGCGGGATACCACCTCTCCGGCACAGTCGGTGGGAGCTGGAAGGTGGGGCCGTTGTACTGCATCCTCGCCTGGCTTTGAGAGTGCTCTGGGTTTGGGTGAAGAAGAGAAGGGGGCGGCGCAAATGGATGCATGGAGAATAGGTGGAGGCGTGGGTGGTTTAAATAGAGAAAGGGGAAGGAAAGGGGAGTGGCACCGGCTGCACTTTGGATTTGCTACGTTCAAACGAGCGGCGTTGATCGATATGCCACTTTAATTGCCACGTTGAATAGATGCGAGTGGATCGAAAAGTTTGAAACGATGCTCTACATCGAGGAGACAAGCGTGTGAGATGAGACGAACCAGCAGCAACGATCGTCCCTGCGTCCGTGGCGGCTCATGTGCAGAAAGAGGTCGGTCAGCGTCCGTGGCGGCTCGCGTGCAAAAGAGGGGAGGTCTGCGCAACGTGGCAGCGGGCATTAGCGGATGCAGGCAGGCTAGCTACATGCATGCATAGCAGGCTAGTTGGACATGTCATGCATGCATAGCAGGCTCATGTCGTTGTGGCGCCCGTGGGGCCCAACAATCTAACAACGGCCCAATGGGCGAACAACGGCACCGTCCGACATGGCCCCAATTGTCAGGTCCAACGGGCGACACAGGCCAGCGCGGCCCCACTCGTCAGAGTTAACGGTCAAGCCATTGACCCGACGACAGCGTCCGCTGTGACCAGTTCTGAAGGTTTTGGGCAAGCGAGTGGGGAAAAGTGACCAAAAGTTAAGAGCATGGAGATGAATGAGTAGAGTTAAGGAACCAGGTGCACAGATGTAAAAATACCAAGGCAAAAAGGTTAAAGCATGGACGACCCTTATCACTTGTCCTATGTACGGCAAACAGTAGGCACCGATAGATTATGGATCCATGTGGATGCCGTGCAGGAAGGGGCAATTTCGTGTTTTGACCCTTTTCTGAAATCTATTCGAGATTTGAACCTAGTTTGAAAAAAATTCGAGATGTGACCCTTTTGCTACCGCCAAGGTCCATGGTGGTAGGGTGTAATAGCCTACCGCTAGAGACCTTGGCGGTAGGAAACATCCCTACCGCCAAACAGACAAGCGATAGCCTGTACAACCCTACCGCCAAGGTGCTCGGCGGTAGGCACGAACACGCACTGTGTTCAATACTTAGAAGGATTTTGCGGCAGGACATGCAACCCTACCGCCAGGGACCTTGGCGGTAGGCTGTTATACCCTACCGCCATAGACCTTGGCGATAGCAAAAGGGTCAGATCTCGAAAAAAATTCAAACTGGGGTCAGATCTCGAATAGGTTTGAGAAAATGGTCAAAACACGAAATTTATTCTCCATGCATGCATATACGTACGGTGGAGGGACAAGGCACTACGGGAAACAGGAGATTTGCCGTCACTACTGTTCTTTGCCGTCAGCATTTCGTCGGGCCAGACGACAAAGACTAATTTTGCCGACAGCGGCTGACGGCATAGAACAACTGATGGCAAATCCATACTTTGCCGTCTTCAGAAAAACCACAGACGGCAAAAAATCTTTGCCGTCTGTGATTTTTTTTACAGACGGCAAAGAAAGCTCTTTGCCGTCTGTAAGAAAAATCACAGACGGCAAAGACTCTTTGCTGTCTATGATTTTTTTTACAGACGGCAAAAAGTCTTTGCCGTCTGTGATTTTTTTAACAGATGGCAAAGAGAGCTCTTTGCCGTCTGTAAAAAAATCGCAGACGGCAAAGAGAAAGGACAGCACACGGATCGATCCCACGAATCGATCGATGACATGGCGTGATCTGCGCCGCCCGCACCCGCTTGTGTCTCTCACCACACGCGCCCCACCCACCCATCCCATCACTATCTCTCTATCTTATCCCCAAGGCCCACCACGATCTCCCCCACGCCGACCCCAATCTCTG